TCAAAATGAACAACAATGCATCAAATCAACAATTGAGTGACTGCAATAACAGTATAACCATGCTGCTCCTTCAATATGGGGGTTTTTGTTAACAAACTAAACTCTGACATCTTAATGTATGCAAGATTAAGAAAGAAAATAAAACCACAAGCTAATTTCTTATTATACTTACTTTGTGTATTATACTTAATGGGGTATCAGATTTGTTTTTCTTCTTTCCTAGACACCAGATTTTGAGGAACAGTGAGAGTTTAGGTGAAAATGTAGATAATGGTGTGATAATAACTAGAGATTTACAAAATACGAAAGGTTAAAGAAACTGAGAATATTACTGTTATTTGGATTTCAAAAAACTCTGGGCGAGGCACGTTGGCTCATGCCAGTAATCCTAGCACTTTGGGAGGCCAAGGCAGGCAGATCACCTGAAGTCAGGAGTTCGAGATGTGGCGAAACCTTGTTTCTACTGAAAATGCAAAAATTAGCCGGGTGTGGTGGCGCACACCTGTAGTCCCAGCTACTCAGGAAGCTGAGGCACGAGAATCAGTTGAACCTGGGGCGGGGCGGAGGTTGCAGTGAGCCAAAATTGTGCCAGTGCACTGCAGCCTGGGCGACAGAGTGAGACTCTGTCTCAAAACAAAGAAACAAACAGCAACAGAAACCTCAATGATGTGCCATAATAAGACGTTAAGTATTGGAAGTGTTCAGAATAATGGAAGAGTAGCAAACAGTGACCACATTAAAAATACAGCAGGCAATGAGTTTCATGAGGGTTTACAAGTTGTTTTTTTAAAAAATATTGATTAAATTTATAGCTCTGTGATTTTAGCATTTAAGGATGGTTCCTGGAAAAAACAAACAAAAAACACTGCTCAATAATAGGAAAGACTTTTGGTGGTGTATTCTTTGGAGGTCTTAAAAATATGACAGAAACCCATTTAAGGCATGTTCAGGCATAGACAAATTGTAGGAAGGTCACTGAGACTCTGGTAATTTTTTTATTGTGTTAAAATTTTTATGACTCATTTTCCTGATATGTTGTAGTTTACAAAATAGGGAGCAATTTAAAAAATCAAAACATTAGGTTTTGATATGACAGTTTAATAATTACATAAGGGAATTTAAAATAATGAATGTTATTTTTAAACTGTTTGAACTATTTGAAAGAGCTTCTATTATTTTTACACTATGAAAAGGTCCACTAATTATATCCCAGTGTTAGTTTTCCCTTGTCTTTACCACAATATTTAAGGCTCTTTCTTGACGATAAAACCAAAAGGTAACTCTTAACTTGCAATTGATGTAGATATTTTGTAACATATATTTAGAAGAATTTCTAAAAACTATTTTTGAGAAAACTGCGTGAAAATGGAGTTGGTTTTTTTCATGTCAAAATATATAACTTTTGCATCATAAGAGATTTAATGTTTTCATTTCTTAAAATGCTTGACCAAGGCTTTTAGTCATTATATTAGCATCTGTTGTTCCATCTGGAGGACCTAAAAATCCAGTGAATTGTAAATGGGCAGTTCAGTATGAATATGCAAATTAAATACATTATGAATTCTATGTAAGATGTAAAGAAGTAGCTTACTCTATCCCTTAATTAGAAGACCTTACTATATATTTCTTTATCGTTTGTTGCATTGATCATCGGGTTCTACTCCAACACATCAACCAGGAATTTTGGTATATAAATGGCATCAAAGACTATTTACAAATATCGTAGACAACGTCTCAAGTGATAAGTGCGATATGTTTTTCAGGGAAGGAAAAAAATACAACTTTCGTGAATATTATTTTGAAAACAGAAATGCTGTACATTGTCACTACTGTATTCTGATGTTAACGATAGAAATTTTGAAACTTTTAATGAGTACTTATTGTTAATGTTCCATTAGATAATTATGTTCTGTTTACATACTGTCATCATTTGAAGAACATATTTGCTTTATTCACCAAATCTTGACGCATACTCTACACATGAATTTAAATGCTACTATTTCTATTACCCGCCTTCACAGTCTTCCAGTTTCTAATATTTACTTAAATATTTTGGCTTTCAAAATTTTAGCTATGATTACAAAGCACACACTGAGCTTTTATTTTAAAATCAAGGTTTGTGCTGTCAATTTAAGGATGAGAGAAGCACAGAGAAACGTGTTCTTTTTAAAATAGTTATATATAAATACATATAAACATATATATGTACACACATACACACACACACACACACACACACACATAGTTTTTTGAGATGAAGTCTTGCTCTGTCGTCCAGGCTGGAGTGCAGTGGTGCGATCTCAGCTCACTGCAACGTCTGCCTCCTGGGTTTCAAACGATTCTCCTGCCTCAGCCTCCTGAGTAGCTGGGATTACAGGTGCGCGCCACCAAGTCCCGCTAATTTTTGTATTTTTTTAGTAGAGATGGGGTTTCACCATGTTGGTCAGGCTGGACTAGTACTCCTGACCTCTTGATCTGCCCACCTCGGCCTCCCAAACTCCTGGGATTACAGGTGTGAGCCACTGTGCCCAGCCAAAGAAGTAAAATATATTTTAAACCTTTAAAGGGAAACTTGATTATCAATTTATCATGTTTCTGTGTGTCAACTTTTATAAGTCCACTACTCAAAATGTAACCTGGAAACACAATGTTTCCAATTAGATATTGTTGGTAGGGTGTAATTGAGCTAGTTAATGACATAACTCTTTCAGAATATTAAGTCAATTATAGTTATCAGCACCAAACATGAAGGAAGTGAAGTAGAAGATATATGAAAAATAACCAGTAATATTAAAACAGTATTTTATGGGGGCAGCAAATAGGTAGTAAGCTATTTACTATTCATTAGTTGGTTATGACATTGCTAAAATTAAGTTAAAACAAAAGGCTGAATACAAATATAATGAGGTAGTTTGGATGATGTTTTCTATTTGGGGTATATAATCAGATTTTATGTTAATCTAATTTGTCTTTGAGTTAAATAAACCCAATAGTGTTGACCTGCCTTTTCATGTGTCATTGTTTCAACACTGTCATTTGATAAACATTTAGTAAGAAATAAAATTACACTCAGAGCAATAATTTTATACTTTTGCAAGCTATTTATAAAATCTAATTGTATAAATAAATGTGTTCTTTAGTTATAAGATCTGTATGTTGTTTATGATAAAGTTAAGAAGTTATAGCTACTTCTGGTGCTATTTAAAATAAAGATTGGAAATAATACAGTGAAGCAGATCTTTAACCCAGGTAGTTTGAAATGCACTCTTTTGGATGGCAGATGAAGGACTGAAACAAAGGCAAGGCAGTTAGTTTGCAGAAAAGATATATGTAGGAGGTAAGACAAAATAATTAATTACATATACTTCTCCTCATTCAAATAATCTCTAGTCATTAATTCCAGGAAAATTACTCAGATTTTTTTTTTTTTTTTTTTTTTTTTTGAGCCGGAGTTTCGCTCTTCTCACCCAGGCTGGAGTGCAGTGGCATGATCTCAGCTCACTGCAACCTCCGCCTCCCAGGTTCAAGTGATTCTCCAGCCTCAGCCTCCCAAGTAGCTGGGATTACAGGTGCCCACCACCATGCCCATCTAATTTTTGTATTTTTAGTAGAGATGAGGTTTCACCATGTTGGCCAAGCTGGTCTCAAACTCCTGACCTCAGGCAATTCACCTGCCTCGGCCTCCCAAAGTGCTGGGATTACAGGCGTCAGCCACCGTGCCGGGCCTACTCAGATAATTTTTTAAATTTGTGCTTTTTTTGTTTATAGCATTCAGAGTTCTAGAGCATAATTACAGAGTATTTCAACAATGCTCAATTAGTAGTGGTTAAATCTTCTCTTCAATGGAGTTGTTGCTCTGTGATGTAAACATACCAAATGTACCTTCAATGGGAGTTTAAGATTTTTTTTATATGTATTTCTGTACTTTGGAAATAGTTTGTGGTGGGTGGGTGTGGCAGAGGAGACTCTTATTGGTTAGTATAGAGCTGTTGCTGCAGGGCAGCTGCTCAGCCAGGAATTCAATTTCCCAGTCCCTCTTGCTTCTAGGTGGAACCATGTGACTAGTTCTTATCAACGAATGTAAAGGAAGGAATGTCATTTCTGAGCCAATGTAATGAAGAAGTAGATATGCTTTTTTGCCTGTCTCTCTTTCTCCATCAATTACTAGATGCAGACAATGCCAGCGTTTTAAAAGATGGAAGGTACCCAGGTCTCTAAATCACATAATGTGGGGAATTTGGTCACTGACCAGAGAGATTGTCATTGAATGACTTCAGGAGTGAAAAATGTGTCTCAGTTAGATTAAATCACTGAAATGCTGAGGTTTACTTGAATGGCAGCTAGCCTTACCCTAAATAGCAGTGTTAGGCAAGTTTTACCAATGCAAAGTCATTTGAATAAAAGAGAAATTTATTGTAAAGTCACAAATGATCTAAAACTGAAACTGCTAAGCTGCACAGCTGCCACTTTCCTGTTCGAATGCTTCTTTCTACGTGGTTTCTCCATCTGCTATGCACTTAACAGATCTCTGAATGTTTAGTCTATACATTTTTCTTTTTGTTTTTCCTTTTTTTTTTTTTTGAGACGGAGTCTCGCTTTGTTGCCCAGGCTGGAGTGCAGTGGTGCGATCTCGGCTCACAGCAAGCTCCGCCTCCCGGGTTCATGCCCTTCTCCTTCCTCAGCCTCCGGAATAGCTGGGACTACAGGCGCCCACCACCACGCCCGGCTAATTTTTTTGTATTTTTTCAGTAGAGACTGGATTTCACCATGTTAGCCAGGATGATCTCAATCTCCTGACCTCGTGATCCGCCCGCCTTAGCCTCCCAAAGTGCTGGGATTACAGGCGTGAGCCACTGTGCCCAGCCATATACATTTTTCAATAGCCAAATCAAAAGCCCATCTCTTCTGGTCAACCTTCAGTCCTCTCTCCTAGATCTGGACAGTCCCATTTTCCTTAGTAGTCAGTTTGCTTTTTGACACTTTTTTTTTTTCCTCCACAGTTATTTGGCCAATTGGATATATTCCTACTCTTTCACACTGGCCTCTAAGGCCCTCGAGCCACGACTTTGTCTTCAGCATTATTTAGCACATAGAGAAAAGATGATTAATAAGTACTTTTGAAATGTTTAATAAGCAAAAGCTGAGTTAGGGATATATTTTAGAAATATATGATATTGTGGATAGCTAAATGTGCTTTTAGTCTTTATCACAAACTTCTTAGTAATTATTTGAGAGCGTTCGGCATATTTATAAAAATAATTTAAAATATAACTATTTTGCTAGAATGTCTTTGTATAGTCATTGTTCTTGAATTAGTAGGTAATAATCCTAATGAGCTATAACAACTGTTCTCTCTTCAAAATAATTCTGATGATATGGTTTTCTTTTTAAGTCAGCACAAAATTTATTCTTTATATAGGGTCTGTTGAAGTGTTTTTAAAAGCATGCGCAGCTCTGGTAGTTCATTCATAAAACACAGGAAAATGTTTTAAAGTCAAAACTTCAAAAAGATTCACAATGTGAAATACAGAAATTAGGATAGTAAGGATACCTGTGTTGTAGGACTTTCTCCTTAGTTCAGCTAGAAGCCAGGTTCTTGTCACATGACCCGCAGAGATTAGGCTCCTAGACACAGCAGAAGGGTGGGAAAAACAGAATTTATTGGGTAAAAAGGAAAAAGGAAAAACAACACAGCCAAGTGAGATGGGGTCCTGCTAAGGGGCTCTCCACCTCACCAGCCGAATCCCAGGGTTACCACCCCGAAACAGGAGAGGCCAGGCTCTTCCCCGCTGCAAAGGGCATGACCTTCCCACAGCTCCACACCCCCACAAGTACCCCCACCCCTGTTCTCCCAGTTTGCAGGTCACTTGTAGGTTCTCCGAGAACCCCTTCCCCCTTTATTACTTGGCTGTCTTACTTAGAAGACTGATGCCCAGGCTGGAGTGCAGTGGTGCGATCTCGGCTCACAGCAAGCTCCGCCTCCCGGGTTCATGCCCTTCTCCTTCCTCAGCCTCCGGAATAGCTGGGACTACAGGCGCCCACCACCACGCCCGGCTAATTTTTTTGTATTTTTTCAGTAGAGACTGGATTTCACCATGTTAGCCAGGATGATCTCAATCTCCTGACCTCGTGATCCGCCCGCCTTAGCCTCCCAAAGTGCTGGGATTACAGGCGTGAGCCACTGTGCCCAGCCATATACATTTTTCAATAGCCAAATCAAAAGCCCATCTCTTCTGGTCAACCTTCAGTCCTCTCTCCTAGATCTGGACAGTCCCATTTTCCTTAGTAGTCAGTTTGCTTTTTGACACTTTTTTTTTTTCCTCCACAGTTATTTGGCCAATTGGATATATTCCTACTCTTTCACACTGGCCTCTAAGGCCCTCGAGCCACGACTTTGTCTTCAGCATTATTTAGCACATAGAGAAAAGATGATTAATAAGTACTTTTGAAATGTTTAATAAGCAAAAGCTGAGTTAGGGATATATTTTAGAAATATATGATATTGTGGATAGCTAAATGTGCTTTTAGTCTTTATCACAAACTTCTTAGTAATTATTTGAGAGCGTTCGGCATATTTATAAAAATAATTTAAAATATAACTATTTTGCTTGAATGTCTTTGTATAGTCATTGTTCTTGAATTAGTAGGTAATAATCCTAATGAGCTATAACAACTGTTCTCTCTTCAAAATAATTCTGATGATATGGTTTTCTTTTTAAGTCAGCACAAAATTTATTCTTTATATAGGGTCTGTTGAAGTGTTTTTAAAAGCATGCACAGCTCTGGTAGTTCATTCATAAAACACAGGAAAATGTTTTAAAGTCAAAACTTCAAAAAGATTCACAATGTGAAATACAGAAATTAGGATAGTAAGGATACCTGTGTTGTAGGACTTTCTCCTTAGTTCAGCTAGAAGCCAGGTTCTTGTCACATGACCCGCAGAGATTAGGCTCCTAGACACAGCAGAAGGGTGGGAAAAACAGAATTTATTGGGTAAAAAGGAAAAAGGAAAAACAACACAGCCAAGTGAGATGGGGTCCTGCTAAGGGGCTCTCCACCTCACCAGCCGAATCCCAGGGTTACCACCCCGAAACAGGAGAGGCCAGGCTCTTCCCCGCTGCAAAGGGCATGACCTTCCCACAGCTCCACACCCCCACAAGTACCCCCACCCCTGTTCTCCCAGTTTGCAGGTCACTTGTAGGTTCTCCGAGAACCCCTTCCCCCTTTATTACTTGGCTGTCTTACTTAGAAGACTGATGCTAACAAAAAACATACACAGGAAAAATGAGAGACCAACAGAAAAAAAAATCTGGCAAAGAAGGCAGACGGGAAAGAGACTAAGCCATAAGAGAGACAGAAAAAAAAAAAAAAATCTGTGGTCTGGGAAGGGCATATTTGCTAAACATTAGTGTGTAAAAGGGAGATGCAACTCATTAAGCTGCCCTTTAATGTAGTATTATCCATAATAGTACAATACGAGAAAAAACTGAAATTCCCCAAAAATGATGCAGTGCGAATTTTATAAATCACGTGAGGCAGTGCCATAGAAAAGAGTAGGAATTCGAGTGGTGTGATTTCAGTTATGGTCCTGTTTCCACCCCGGTACAGGACTTGTGCAGGTATTTTAATCCTTACTTGTATGTTTGGGAGCCAAGGTGTAAAGACCGCCTTCACCCTCCAAAGATACCCTGAAAAATCAACTCACAGAAAGCAGATTAATTGGAAAAAAAGACATACACATTTATTAACGGGTACATGAGGAGAACCAGGGTGATTACCCATCTTGCCAATGGAGTTCAGAAGCTCATGTGCCATCCTGCTCAAACAGGTCATGGGATTGGAGAGAAGAGGAATTTTGGTGAGGGACAATACAGGATTCCTAGGGAAAATAGAATCCATCTGGGAGCAGACATTAATTAAGTTGTAAATAGTTCCCTCTGGAATTTGAATGAACCTAAGAGACAGCTTAGTCTTACCCAGAGGGGAAGAAACAACAGTTATCCTTTTTGGTGAGTTTGGACTTTAGACATATAAAAGAACTTCTGAGAAAAGCTTCCTCCTTGCTTTGAGAGAGTCAGTTGTGGGCGGGGAGGGGCAGGGAATCAGAGAGGCTCTGAGACTGCTTTTTCAGGTCAGCATGTTAAAGTGCCATATTTGGGGTATCAGTTTTTGAACCCCATCATAGGCTACAGAACCTTACGGTTCCTTTCAGGGCTGAAACTTTCTCATACAGTAAAGTGTTTAAAAGTTTATGCTATTCTGATTTTAGCAAATCTCCCAAATGGTATTTCTCTTCATAATGTTAGGTAAGGCAGAAAGCAATTCTTGAAAGAGCAAGTCTCTGAAAGCTAATGATGCCTGGGTTGCAGTCTAAACTGTATTATTTTCTTTGTCTAAAATGCCAAGGGCAAGTTGGCTTTTAGAGTTAATTTCTTTCATTCATATAAAATGGTAATGAGAGTTAAATTATATTTAGGCACCTAGTACAATACCTAGCCTGTAATAAACTCTCTGTAAATGCTTGTTTCCTCCCTCTGTTGCATAAAACAACTACAAGATGAAAAACCTATGTGAACCAAAAACAAAATTCTAAGCCCCACAACCAACAGAATGGACCCCTCCTTTCGGCCAAGAGCATTCTAAAGGAAACCTGAAATATTAGTTCAGGCCTTGATGGAAATGGGTGGTTGGATATGCCTCCTTATACTTTCCTCCCTTTGATATTTAGGCTGACCAGCATTAGCATTAAAACAGAGACCTGAAGACTGACAGAACAGACTCTTTAAGCCTGATAAGAAACATTTACAATTGATTCTCTCTAAAGCCTGCTACCTGGAGGCCTCATCTGCATAATAAGAACTTGGGTCTCTATAATCCCTTATCTTAACCCAGACATTCCTTCTATTGATTCCAAGTCTTTAGATAAATTCTTTCCGCCAATTGCTAATCACAAAATCTTTGAATCCACCTACTACCTGGAAGCACCCCCACAACACACACACAATGGCTTCAAGTTGTTCTGCCTTTCTGGGCCAAACCAAAGTACATTTTCCATTTATCGATTTATGTCTTTTGTCTCCCTACAATGTATAAAGCCAAGCTGTAGTCCAACCACCTTGGGCACATATTGTCAGGATGTCCTGAGGTTATGTCATGGACATGTCCTCAACCTTGGCAAAAGAAACTTCAAAATTGATTGAGATTTGTCTCAGATACTTTTTGGTTTGCAACTGAAAACAATATAGGTTAGCTATACATCTCTTCGGGTGTCATTGCCAGAAGAATTTGTCACAGTCAATTTTTATTACCGTGATTCAAACCCTGATAAAATTATAACTTAAAAATGTTATAAGATAGATAAAAACAATTCAGTTAATATTCCCTGGTTAGTTTCAGTCATAATGATTATGTAAGTTAGGTGCTGTCAATTACATGAGCATCTCTTTAAAGCAGATGAGAATTTGATGATGTTAATCATGATGATGATTACTAACATTTATTGAATGTCTACTATATGCACCACTCTAAGCACCTTGCATATACTACCTAATTTAAACTGGGTCATAGATGACACAGTAGCTTAGAGTGTGCTATTTGTTGACTGTATTTTACCGTGTGCTTCAATTTGACAGACAGTGTAGATGTACTAAATTCATTCTTCATTCACTTTACAAAAATTGACTGAGTTCTTATTGATGTGTTGTGCTGGACAGTGTGAAAAATCAAAGGGTGAATCAGGCAGAGACCTCTTCGAGCAGATATTATTGAGCAGAAGAGGTAAATTATGCACACAATAGGGTGCAAGATGAAAAGTGGCATGAGAGAAATGATCATAAAGGGTAGTGGGAATTCTGAGATGGTCATGAAAAGTTTCCTGCACAAGTGGAATTTGAATTTGTCCTCGAAAGAGTGAAATCTGGACTGGGAATGTCAAATTAAAAATACAAATCCATACTTTGTAAGGTGGGGAGACTATTGCAATTGCGAAGCTACTCTAACTATAAGATCTACAAGTCTTTCAAAGTTAGGCAAAAAGATTTTTCTTTCATAGGGAGAAGTAAACAAGGCTAGGAAAAAAAAAAAAAA